GGCTGGGCAGGAGAGAAGAGCAGCAATGAATGAATGGAAATCCAAAATCTCTGTTCATTAAAACTATGAAAATAAAAAAATTTACCCCCCCCAAAAAAAAAGCCTTGCCTCCAAGGAGAAACTTGGTTTCACCCTCTCCAAGACAGATCTATTCTCCTGGTGGCCCATGGTATGTTCAATACTCTGCATCACCACAACTCAGAGGCTAATAATCTGATCGATTAGTTATACTTAAGTTATTTCATTCTCAAAACTAACACCTAGGGTAGAGACTAAGATCCTGTTAACAACTGAGCTCTCAAGAAGAGTTAAAAAGCCTCTTCAAAATGAAACTGGAAGTGAAGACTACTATTCAATCCCTGAATTGTTCGTGACCTCTACTCAACACTGCCTCCATTCTTCTTTCGGCCCACACATACAATGACCTGCAACCTGCAGGCAGTTCTAAGATCTGTAGTTGGAGCTGGGGCCCTGACCTTCTCTCATTCAAAGGACAAGTAAGAACCAAACCAGCGGTCCTGAACAGGGCTCTTCTGGGAGGCATGCGAGAGTCAGCAGTCACTTACTTAGTGCTGGCACTGCGGCCATAAAGAAAACCGAGCAGCAGCAGCCGACTTCCACGAAGCGACCAGAACACCTCAGGGAAGCCCCCGAGCGCTGGGCCACGGGGTCGCCCCAAGTACCGCAGTGCTGACAGCATCGCCTTAAACCCTGCCCTCCTTCAGGTACCAGAGGTTGCCACGTGAGGCCGACCCGCTGTGTGTACGGGATCGCACTCAGCGTCTACAACTCCGCCCCCTGCGTCTCGGCCAATGAGGCTCTCGGTTTTGCCTCACGTGGGATCAAGGCTGCGACCAATGGACGCTAAAGGTGAAAGGCTAGTAGGTGACGCGGTAGGTGGAGGCTGTGGCCGCAGGCTCACTCCCGCCCACCAACGCTGTGAGTAGCAGATCCAGAATCCAAACCCGGGCTGTTGGGGTCTTGGTTTCGCTCCACCTTTTCTCGTCTATAGCCGAACTGACTTGAAAGCTTGGTCTGAAAAGTCAGCAGTTTCCACCGCTATCGCTAAGCAGATTTAGATTCACAGGGAAAAAAATCTTGGTGTGATTAAGGCTAAAACTCTGGTGGGCCCAGCGACCAGCTGTGAGTCCTGTTTTATTTGAGGCTCCTTGCTTGGCACCAGCTATGAGGGGCATCTCCTAGCTGGCCTTTGCTGCTGCTCAGAACAGAGGTGCTTCTTTGCCACGCAGTACATGCTTATCTGAAGTTTTATGGGCTTCCCGGGAGTGTCATTGATAAAATCATTTCTTAACCCTGTAAATATCAAGCTCTACTCTTCTTCTCCAGGCTGACAGATTTGATCTCCACTGTCATTTAATAATCTGTGTTCTTTTCTTAAATAATGGGCAGAAATAGTTTTAGGTATGCTGTATGGGCTTCTGACCTCAGTTTGAAGAAGAATGTCATAGTTGACCCCAGGCCTGATCATAAAGAAACCTGGTTATGTCTAAGGTGACCAGACTACTGGATCCTGATAAGGCTCTGGTCCTGATCACAAAAACCCATACCAAGTTAATTAACAGGACTCCCTTCCTAAATTCTAAGCAAAATAATGCCTAGTTAAACCCCTAAAAAGGGAACTGGCCTTGTCTGCCCTCTGAGTTACTTGGTGTCCCTTTCAGACCAGGCAACAAGGCCTGTTCGTTTCTTGGGACCAGCTTTTTCTTTTCTCTCGCTCTCTCTGAACTTTTTTCCTAATACCAGTAATTTCTAAAGGACCCTCTCTCTACCTGTAAAATTATGTGATTCTCCATAATCCAGCCAGTTTAATTCAGTCCTTAAAGGTTATCTGTGCTTGAAAGCAGCTTCTAATTTTTAAAGCAGAGCAGTTGACGTTTACTGTTGAAAGGACTTGTATATTTGAATCTTGACATAGAGTTTGCTTAATGCCTTGAGGAAGTTATCTTACCTTTCCCTGAGGTTCTACTCTGTGAACTAAGAATAATAACCATGTCTTCAAATTCAGCTGATTACATGAGATAAAGTTCGTCAAGTAGTTGCACAATCAGACACTTGTAAATAGTGGCTTTTTTTCTTTTAAGTGGTATTTATTTTGTTGTTGAGAGAATACAAGCCAAATATACACCAATGAAATAGTTTGTATATGTACTATTTAGTGACATGGATTACATTGTTGGAGTTGTTCAATCGTTTTCAACCACCTTTTCTGAGTTGCTGCTCTCTCATTAGGGTAAACTAATTGATTCCTACCTACTCTTTTGAGTTGCTGTTGTCAATTGGACCCATTCTAGATAGCTATTTAAAAGGCATAATATTCATGGCAGAAAATTTTTACTAGTTAAGCTTAACTTTTGTTCAGTTTTAAGATACTTAAGATCACCTCAACTTTTGTTCAGTTTCAGGGATGTTTTTGCTTTAAAGTTTAAAGATTGTATTAGAAACAAAAAAAAGCCTAGAGAAGTGGAAGAATATTCCCTGCTCATGGATAGGAAGGCTTAATGTTGTGAAAATGACAATACTACCAAAGGCAATATACATGTTCAATGCAATCCCAATACAAATACCAATTTCATTCTTCATTGACATGGAAAAGGCAATCTCCAGCTTCATTTGGAATGGAAAGAAGCCA